TCTTAGGAGCTGTCCGTCCAGGTGGTTAACGGAGGAGGCTGGCTCTCGGAGCAACCTCCGCCCTATGAAGCCTGTTCCTGACATCGCCCCTCACAGACACGCCCGCCTGGTCCCTCACAGCGGCCTGTGAACAGGCGCCGTCCTCCCAGGCGAGGGACGGAGCTCAGAGAGGCTGAGAGCCTTCTTGAGGCCGCACGGCCGCACAGGAGATGGCTCAGTGGACCCCACATCCACAGAGGGGTTCCCCGGGCAGGGCTCTGGGGAGCACCCGGTCAGAGGGGAGCAGGGGCTGAGCTGGGAACAGTGTGTGGGACAGGGCTGGGAACGCAGGACGGCTCCCCGGCCAGATGCCTGGGTGCAGAAGAGTCACCCACAGGATAATGAATGCTTGGACCCGGATTCAGAGCACCTGCGTTCACTCAGCCATCACCCCCTGCCTGCCAGGTCCTGGGGACAGACAGAGTGGCCTGTTGGGGGTCCTCTGTAGTGCTGGGGTGGGATCAGGATGGGGACAGGCCAATGACCAGAGACAGGATGTGATGAGAAGTCGCTTGGTGGGGGTGGGGCTACCTCAGAGGAGTGGTCAGAGAAGGAAGGCCCGGCCGTGCAAAGGCCCTGGGGCAGGATTGAGCTGGGAGAGCTTGGGACCAGCGAGGTGGCCAGTGTGTGCCAAGTGAGGGGCTGAGTCCAGATTCACCGTCCCCTCCCTGAGGCCTGACTGGTGGCACAGGGTTGCCACCCTGTGTCGCCTCTGGGGTGTGCCTACTGTGTGCATCAGTCACAGAGCCCAGGTGCCCTGGGGAGGAGGCACAAGGCCCTGGCCCCAAATCACACTGCTGCATGAGAGCTGTAAGGGATTGCCTCGTGGAGCCTCTGTTTTTGCATCTGTAAAATGGGGACATAAGACCCATCTCACAAAGCCTCAGGGAGCATTAAATGGGATCGAGGTGCTGAGCCAGCCCTGGACACATGGGGAGAGACAGGCCCTGCCCCACGGGGTGCACATGTGGTGTGGGGGCTTTAGCTCAACAACCCCCTGGGTCTCCTGGAGGGCTGCCTGGAGGAGGTGGCTTTTAAGAGTTCTGTAACTGGCTCAAAGGCTGAGCAGGAGGAGCACAGGTGGACGAAGCATGATGGGCCTGTTTCTGACCCGGGTGACCCTCCTGTCGCTCCGAGTCGTGCAGGGAATAAGGGAGGAAGCAGGTTGCTGGAGGGAAGCGATGTGACTGGATGCTGAGAGTGGATCTCAGGGTGTGTGTTGGGGGGGCGGGGGGTGGGGGGGCAGGCCTCAGGAGGAGGGGACCAGCACGGGCAAAGACAGTGAGGGAGTGGATAGCAGGACTCGCATGATGCTGGGAAACCATGGTGATCCTGGTTCGGACCACCCAGAGGGGCTGGATCACCCAGAGGGGGCAAGGGGTGGGGTTAGGGCAGACGGCGGTGAGGTCACAGGTGTGTTGCAGGAATAGGCCTTGGGCTAGGACTACGGGGTAGACTGGAGGGGCAGCACCCAAAGCTGGATGGACTGTCCCCCTGAGTGCACCCCCCCTGAGCCAGGAGAGCACTGGATCCCACTTTCTTGGGGTCCAGCAGGGGACACGGGGAGCCTAAGGTATTTCCTGCCCCATCATCTCACCCTGAAGACCCTGGCCATCCCACAGGCCCCTTGTACGCATGGTCCCCACCCCCTCCTGCCCTCCTCCTGCAGTGGCGTGAGGCCCAGGCAAAGTCCCGGTGTTCTCCGCTCGGCCGCAGGCAGCCCTCAGCTAGCCTCAGGGGCCTTGAACCAGGCACTCCACGGTCTGGCCTTGGTTTCCTCATCCATGCAAAGGGCATCTCGGGAACATCCCCCGGTCTTTTGGTTTATGAACTGCAGAGTTGAGTCTTGAATGTGGGGCTTTGGCCCCAACACCAAGACCATTGCCCAAGGCACAGCACCTCCCCCGGAAGGCTGTTTCCCATACACACACACACACACACACACACACACACGCAACCACACTGCTCATCAGCACGCACACATCCGGAGCTTTATGTACGCTCCCCAACCCCCTGGGTGAGGTGCTGAGCCAGCCCTGGACACATGGGGGAAGACAGGCCCTGCCCCAGGGAGTGCACATGGGGCTTTAACCCAACAACCCCCTGGGTCTCCTGGAGGGCTGCCTGGAGGAGGTGGCTTTTAAGAGTGAGGGCAGTGATTCCCCACAGGCTCTGGGTTTGGGCAGAACCTGAGAGGTCAGTATCCAGAGTGAGGGAGGGGCTGCCACGGTGCCAAGGCGGGACCTCGGGCCCTTTCTCATTGCCCATTCTGCCCCCCCCCGCCCCGCCCCCAGCCCCTTGCCACCAGGCCTCTCACAGCCTCTCTAAAGGCCCTTCTTGGGGGGAGAGTCCCAGACAGGCCCTTTGGAAGAGCTGAAATACTCCATATAAATAATTGATGCTAGATTTCTTAAATTAAATTTTAATACATTCTTATTAATTTTAGACAAACTCCCTGGCAGGTCATTCCCTGTGAATGATGGAGGCAACTGGAGACGTGAAGGATGTCCCCAGCCTGTGGGTGGGAGAGGCCTCGGGGCCGGGGCCCGGCCAGCTGGGTGGGCTCCGCTCCGTGTGCTCTCCTCTCCCGCAGCAGGGCCGGCCGCTGCCCTGGGCGGCACAGGACAGTGCTGTGCGCTCACTGCCGGGGTGCGGGCGGGGGCTTGTCATGATCATTGTGATGATGATGACGATGATGATGATTGCCATTCTGCTGACTGTGGAGTTTCATTCCTCAATCATGGGTCTCAGGACAGGGCTCCCCTCCTTTGCTGCCTGCTCCCAACCCCAAGAACTTCATCCAGGGCTGATGCATGAGTGAGGATCCCTCCCTGGGGTGGAGGAAGGAGCCCTTGAACTTGGTTGGGGCTGACTCGGGATCCGTCGGCTCCTCCCACCCTGCGTGCTGGCTAGGGGGAGGCCAGGCCCGCTGGGCGCCGTGGGGGGGGGGGGGGGCTTGGAGAAGGGACAGGACTCCTTCCGGGAACTCAACCTGAAGGGAAGCGGCAGGCAGACACAGGCCATGGTGCTGTGGCATCTAGGCATGCCTTTCCCGTTTTTCTGGCGCGCCAGCTGCACGCTGGGCCCCGGGGAGCTGAGCATGGTGATGTGGACATGGGGCAGGTGGGTCTGGGGGGCTAGGGGGCCTGGGGGGCTGGGGGCCTGGGGGGCCTGGAGGGTCTGGGGGGCCTGGGGAGCCTGGGGGCCTGGGGCCTAGGGGGCCTGGAGGGTCTGGGGGGCTGGTGGGCCTGGGGGGCAGGGGGCCTGGGGGGCCTGGGGGGTTTGGGGGGCTGGTGGACCTGGGGGGCAGGGGGGCCTGGGGGAATGGGGGGAGGGCTGGGGGAATGGGGGGCTGGGGAGCCTGGGGGCCTGGGGCCTGGAGGGTCTGGGGGGCTGGGGGGCCTGAGGGTCAGGGGGCCTGGGGGAATGGGGGGCCTGAGGTGCAGGGGGCCTGGGGGCTGGGGGAATGGGGGCTGGGGAGCCTGGGGGCCTGGGGGGCTGGGGAGGGGTGGGCTGAGCACCAGCACTGCACACGGAGAGGGTCCCGGCTCTCCATCCCAGACAACTTTCAGAGGGTGGCACACTGCCTCCGGCTGCCGGCCAGGGGCCCCTCGTGGGTCCCGTGTCTCTGATTGCCCCCCAGCCCAGCCCAGCCCCTTGGCAGCCCGCGGGGCCCACGGGCAGCAGAGAGCTTTGTCCACTCTCCCTTTGCTCCCCACCACAGCTGGCAGGTGAGGAAACTGAGGCCCGGGAGTCCGGGAAGGCCTGTCTGGGCCCCCTGGGGGCGGGTGAGTGGCCCATCCTGGCCGAGGCCCGGGGCCCAGCTCCCCGCTCGGCGCTGACAGCCGCTGCGCCCTCCCTCGGCGGGGCGGCGGGCGGCGGGGGAGGCGGCGGGCCCGGGCCGGAGGAGCGCGCTCCCGGCGGACGGACGCGGCGCAGGGGCCGGGATGGGCAGCGATCAGCCCTCTCAGGTGCGCCGCGCGGGCCCCGGGCGCAGCCCCCGGCCCCTCTCGGTGCCAGCCATGGCGCGGGGAGCCGGGGGGAAGCCCCCGGGAGCGGCCTCTCCCGAGTGATGGAGAGACGGCCCCGCGCCCCCCGCCTGGCGCAGGAAGTGCGATCCCGCCCGGGCCGCTCGCCCACGGCCACCGCCGGGCACCGCCGCCCCGCGCGGAGGGGCTGCCCGGCGGCGGCGGGGGTGCGTGGGGAGGGTCCCCCAAGCCGCCCGCCCGCGGGTCTGCGCCAGTCCTGCAGGGAGCCCCGCGGGTGAGTCGGCCGCGCAATGGTTAACCCCCGGGGCCGGGAGGGGCGGGCCAGGCCCGGAGCCTCCGCATCGGGGGGCAGCGGGGGCCCGGGTGCAGGGGTCGGGGTCCCCAGGGCCATCCCCCGTCCGGATCCTGCGAGCGCCGGGCGCTGCAGTCCGGGTGGCTCCCAGTTTGCGGACCGGGACGCTGTCCCCGGCGGGATACTGAGCTGCGGGCTCGGGATGGGAGGAGCGCGGGGCCGGGAGGGTTAACGGGCGGGCGGGGCGGGGGGTGGGGGGATGCGAGCGAGCGGCGGGGGCCGCGGCCACTTTATCTGAACGGGTCCGACTTGGATCCCCCATCTCTCCGCCGAGCTCGGGAGCGCTCCGGGTCGCACCATGCCGCCGCGGAGGGTGCGACCCCGGGTCCCCGGGCCGGCGCCCCGGAGCGCCCGGGGGCCGGACCTCCGCGCAGGGTAGCGCGGCGGCCCAGCGGGGAGCACCTGTTACTCGGCGGGCGCCCCGCGCGCCCTCGGAGTCCCCGGCGCCGCAGCCGGTAAGGACGGACCGGGCCGGGGGCGCACGGGCCGGGCTTCCCGCCCGCCGAGCGAGCCGCGCGCGGTGCCCCTCCGCCGCGCCCGCCGGTGCCCGCGGCGCCCGGTGCCCCCGGCGGGCCAGGGGCGCACGCCGCCCGCGCTGACCTCTCTCTGGTTCCCCGCAGGCCTCGGCCGCAGACATGGACAAACTCCGGTGAGTGGGCGCGGGCGGGGGGGGGGGGGCGGCGGGAGGTGGGGGGGGGCCGGGGCCGGAGCGCTCCCCGGGGCGCCCGCAGGCCGGGGCGCGGGGCGGTGCGTGTGCGCGCGGCGAGGACACGGGGCGCCCCGCGGGGGGCTCCTCGGCGGGACCCCGGCCGCTGCGGCGGGGAGGCGGGGTGCGCCCCCAGGCCCGGCGGCCTCCGCGGCCCCGCGCGCCCCACCCGCATCCTGCATGGTCCCCCGGGACCCCGGCTCCCGCTCCCGCCGGGACACGCGGGTCCCCGGCGCCGGCGGGCCCCCCACGCCCCGCGGACAGCTGCCCGGGTCTCAGCGTTTAAGTTTACGCCCCGTGGGGTCGGGGTCGGGGTCGGGGACGGAGGACGGAGCCCTCGCCGCTGACCGCGGCAGTCGGGGCTTGGAGCCATTTTGGGGGGGTCCCGCGGCGGCCGCGGCGCCCGGGTAGCGCCCCGTTAGCGTCCCCGCCGCCGCCGCCGCCGCCGCGGGCGCTAACTTGGAGCCGCGCGCTCCCCGCTCCCTTCCGGCCGCCTCGGCCGCGGGACCAGCCGCTCTGCATATTCATGACTTCCTCCGAGCCTCCGGGGCACCGGACCCCCCCACTTGGGGAGCAGCCCTCCTGCGTTTTCCTTCCGGAGCCCGAGCCACAGCGCTGCGTGGGCAGCTGACCCAGCTCCGGCCACCGGGTCCATCAGCCCGGCTGGGGGGGCCGGGGGTCTGTCCCTCTCCCCCCCCCCCCCGAGGCCAGATGGGCATCCCTGGAGGAGACGTTTGGTACCCAGTGCCCCCCATTCCCAAGGGGCAGGGACCCCGGAGAGCCTGGGCTTGTGCCAGGGCCGGTCTCTGGGTCTGTGGGCAGAGGGGCCAGGGCTCCCAGGTGACTGTGGGTGTCGGGGGACAGGTGGTGGCACGCGGAGGACCCCGACTGGACAGAGAGCAGGGCCATCTCCTGGCTGGGAGCTGGAGTGCAACACAGCCCCCCCTCCCCCCCCCACCTTCCTCCGGGGGTCCCCGGAGCCGGGACCCACTCGTCCTGGGCTGGGAGGAGGGTCCCTCTGTGAGGTCGGAAGCCTGATTGGTGTCTGTCAGACAGGTCCATCCTGTCTTGGCCAAGGTCCAGCCGGGCTCGTGAAGCCCCGTCATCCACATCCCTGGCTATGGGTAGAAAGAGGAGCTCAAGCCAGGGATCTTCCAGGTACCCCACATTGGCTGTCATCTCACCAATCCCCCCCCCCACCACCAGGGCTGGGGTCCATATGGGGAAAGGGACTGCTGGGACTTGAGCAAAAGAGAGCATTCATTGGACACCGGGGGCGGGGGGCGGGGGGCGGCGGGGCGGGGGCGGCGGGCGGTGCCCAGCATGGCTGCTGTAGGAGGGGCGGGGGTGCTAGGGTTCTCTCTCTCTCCCTCCCTCCCTCTCCATGCCCATCCAAGGCTCTTGAGCACCCACCCTTGCCTTCTGGGTAACAGGTACAGAGACATAGCCCAGCCTCAGTTTCCCCATCTGTAAAGCAGTTGTCCTAGTCACCCCACCCCCACCCCATGCAGGACTGACGGGAGGATGACATGAGCTACTGTGCAAACACCCCCTCCCCGGGACCTGGCAGCCTCCCCTGCCACAGCCTCCCCCCCCCCACCCCCCCCCAGCAGAGGTCCACTGGGGGCATCAGAACCGCAGGACGGGGGCTCCCGGGCAGGAGAGGCATCGGTGGTCCCCTGAGGGCATCCTGGAGGGTCCCGTGCCTCCGCCCCCGGACCGACCGCGGTTTCTGTAGATCCTGGCTGGGACCGGGGTCTGCATGGAGGGGGCAGGCGCTCTGCAAAGGGGCTAATGCCATCGGGACCCTCGGCAGCCCCCTCTGTGGGCAGGGACACAGCTGGGCTCTCCCGCCCCAGCCCCTCAGCCCAGACCCTCTGACTGCCGCTCCCCACCCCACCCCGGAGTCCCCCCTCGGAGCCCCAGAGAAGCTGCCATCTTCATGCAGCTCTGCCTTTTGCTCATTCAGAGAGCGTTTACTGAACCCTCCAAGGAGCGGGGTGGGGGCGGGGGGGGGGAAGGGAGGGGTGGGTGGGTGGGTAGCTGGGGCAAAGGGCCTGCCCTCTCCATTCAGACCCCAGTTCTGGCCGGCCATCTCCAGAAACCGCAGCCCAGGGGCGGGAGGCAGACCCGGGCGCGGGACCCTCCAGGGTCCCTTCAGCTGGACCCTCTTGCCGCTCACACCCAGCTGGGCTCACTCCGCGCCCCCCCCCCCGTGAACCACGTTCCCCCCGAGACACAGAAAGACCCAGGCGAGCCTTCCAGAGCGGGGACACGGTCTGGTCCACACACCCTCCCCGGGGTCCCGGGCTGGGGACTCTGGCTTGTGAATCAAGGCGGGCTTCCTGGCAGCAAGGGCACTTGAGCCCAGAATTGAAGGAAGCATAGGAGTTTGCAAGGACAGACAGGATGGGGCTCCCAAGAGGAGCGAAGATGTGTTCAGGGAGACAGGGGAGGGGGGAGGGGCGGTCCGCAGGGCACCCCTTGCCCCCTGCGGCGTCCTCTGCCCACCCCATGGCCGCCACAGGCTGGGTCTGGCTTCCATCTCTCCAGCCCAAGGACCTTGCAAGGGCTAGCACACAGTAGGGCTCCTCCCAGGTCTGGCCACCTGTGCTCCAGCCCAGCGGTCACCAACCTTTCGGACCTCACGAGAGTGGTCCGGGCGGACCACCGGCTGGCGACTGCGGCTCTAGCCCTCGGCCTGCTCCCTGCCCCTCCCTCCCTCCCTCCCTCCCTCCGCTCCCCTTCCTCGGGCTGCTGGAGAACTCCTCCAGCGCCACTCCTGTATTTGCAGATATTAGCAAGTCCCAGCCGCCAGCTGCGCCCCTAATCCCCAAGTTAATCCCCTCCTCTGCCTTCCTCTGCACCGGGTCCCTCTGCCCCCCCCCCCCGCCCCCCTTCCCCCGTGGCCACGGTCTCTGCTCCCCGCCCTCCGGGCACGCCCCTCCCTCTGCGGGAGCTCAGCCCTCCTCTGTCCTGGAGGGGAGCCGTCCACCGACTCAGAATGTGTGCGGGAGACCTGTTCCCCCCCGTGAATCCTCCCCCGGCCCCCAACACGGAATTTCCCCAAAGTTGTGCACTGTGATAGGCTCCCAGAAAAAGCCACCAAGACCCGTGAAGTTTGGGGTGATCACACCCCGGGGTTAAGAGGACCGCTGCCAGCCTCCCAGACCCTGCCCTCGTCCCGCCCCCTCCAGCGCCCCTGAGGTCCCAGGCGCCCTCGCTCCGTCCTGTCTTCTCCCCGGTCCGGCCACCTAGGAGAGGCCACCCGCCCGGCATAGTTTCCCCAGTTCCCCAGCCTGGACCGGCCTTCCCACCGCGGTATTCAGGCACTCCCCCCCCCCCCAAATGTCTTATTCGCAAGCGCCCTCGGTGATGCGGGGAGCTGCTGTTGATGGCTGCCTTGGGGAGCTGCGTGTGTGAGTGGAGTCATTTCATTGTATTTATTCATTGATGGGTGTCCGGGCAGCTTCCAGCCCGCACCATTGAGAATGCAGCTCCCGTCCAGGTGGTCTGGGGAACACAGATCTGGGGCGTGCCCCAGGGCAGAACGGTGGGGGCACAGGGCATCTTTAGGCGATAAGGCCACACTCTCCCGGGTGCTCCTGCCCGCCCCCCTCTCAGCAGCACCCGGAGCTCCTGCCTCCCAAAGCTTGGCACTGCCAGGCAGGGCTGGCGGCGGCGGCGGGAGGCGCACTTGCCTGGGTTGCTGCCTGCCGTGTGTTGCTTCCCCTCCAGTGGCCTCTGCCGTGCGGGCTCTGCCGTTTGCCCACCCGCCCGGCTGCCCCATTGATCTGCTGGAGCTCCCCCAGCTAGCCCTTGTCAGTGACCCGGCTGGCAGATGCACCTCCTGCTGTTTGCTTGCTTCTCACTCCTTAAATGGTCCTCTGATGAACAGAAGTTATTTTTACTTCTGTTGAATGTTTTAGGCTTTTACTCTCCCCCCCCCCCCTTCCAAGGATACATTCATTGGTTTTTAGGGAGAGAGGACACGGTAAAGGGAGAAGCAAAACATGAGCCTCTGCCTCCCGCATGCACCCAAACCGGGGATCAAACCCACAACCTCAGTATTGACATTGATTTTTTTTGCATAGTTTGAGACTGAGCTCCTTTTTTTTTCTTTTTTCTTTTTCTTTCTTTCTTTTCTTTTTCTTTTTCTTTCTTTCTTTCTTTTTCTTTTTTTTTTTTTTTTTTTTTTGCACATGAATACTAATTCCTGCCCATACTCTGATTCATAAGACTGATATTTGTTGTGGTCCGGCCCAGGCCAGATGCTGTTCTCCATGCTGGAGGAACTACAGGGACGCCTGGCTGATGTCCTAGAGATAGTCCATGGGTTACCTTACACATGTGAAATCACACTGACCCCCGGCCTATGACGGTGCCCCTGCTGTCCCTCACACCCCTCAGACAGGCCCCTGCCCCAGGGCCCTTGCTGGTGCCGTCCCTTCTGCCCGGAATATTCCCCACAGCTCACACGGCCCGCCGCCTCTCCCACGACTGTCTCCGTGTCACCGAGGGGGCTCTGCGACCACTCAGCTGTTCACAACGCTAACTCCCCCCACCTCCTCCTTCCCTGACACACCGGTCCCCAGTGGACGCATGAATTATTTACTTTTTTTTTTCTTTTTCTTTTTTTTTTTTTTTTTTTTTTTTTGTGTGTGTGTGTGTGTGTGTGTGTTTTCTTTTTCCTTCTATTTTTTTCTCTTATTTTCTTTTTACCAACCCTTGTGTTGAGGCCCGACTTTCAGTGGATCGCAATGAGGAAGCAGCTCCACTCTGTACAAAACCCCGACCCAGAAGCATCTACAAATGGGGAGAGGGCGGCCCCCTTTCCACTGCACCCCCTCCATTTACCTTTAGTGTCTGTCTCCCTCAGAACACCGGACCATGATAATCGCCAATGCTTAGCATTGGCAGATAGTAGGTGCTTTTTTTTTTTTTTTCATGAGTTGTTTTTTTTTTAATTTTTTTTTCCCTGGATGATTTGACTCAGTGATTAGAGCATCGGATTGTGGACTGAAGGGTCTTGGGTTTGATTCCAGTCAAGGGCACATGCCCAGGTTTTGGGCTCAATTCCCAATAGGGGGTGTGCAGGAGGCAGCCGATCAAAGATTTTCTCTTATTATTGATATTGCTCTCTCCTCTCTCCCTTCCTCCCTGAAATCAATAAAAATCTATTTTAAAAAATAAAAATAAAATTCTTTTTGTCTTTTTTCTTTTTATTAGTTCTGTTTCTGTGTTTTGTTTTAGGTTTTTGGGGTTTTTTTGTTCATTTGATTCTTTTGCAGGAAATGCTTTTGACTGAGACTGAGCTGTGGCAAATGGGGAGGAAGGAGGAGGCGGGTACAGCTTCTCCCTACTCCTCATGCCGCCCCAGAGGGATCTACCCACTCTGCCCACAACAGGGGGACGTGGGAGCACTTATGCCCCGCCCCTCCCTCGGCCCTTGGCCCTCAGGGAGTAGTGGATTGTTGTTGTTTTGTTGTTGTTGTTTTTTGTTTGCTTGTTTTTTGGTTTTTTGGTTTTTTTTAATCAGCCACTGAGGAGTCCGGAGACTGTGAGAGCCTCCAGTGGACGGATTGGCTTCAGCCCTCCATGGCTTACCTCCTCCACCGGAGCCCCCTCAGGCCCAGGCCCTTCCTCCCACTGTGGTCCTTCAAGGCTTTCTGCCCCCCCCCTTTTTTTTTTAAGTTTGTGGGGTTTTTTATTTTTGGTTTTGTTTGTTTGTTTTGTTTTTGTTTTTTGCAATAGGAAGGGAAAGGGAGAGAGAAACATCAATATGAGAGTGATCCATTGATGGCCTCCCTCCTGCACGCCCCCCACCAAGGATTGAGCCTGCAACCTGGACATGTGCCCTCTCTGGGAACCAAATTGGCAGCCTTTCGGTGCACAGGGCAATGCCCACGCAGCTGAGCCACGCAAGCCAAGGCATTCTCTGCCTCATTTCTAAACATGATCCTCACGGAAGAAGGTTTACGGACTAATTCTCACCGAGGTGTGAATGACTGCCTCACTTGGAATTTTTTTGTTTTTTGTTTTGTTTGTTTTCCTTTGGGAGCTAAGGCATTTACAGAGGGACCCCAGTCATGGGCCCTTCTCTCTTACCTTTTTCTGCTCACCTGGGCATTCTCACGTCACATCCACGGCCAGCTGAGTGTCGCTTGGTGTCCTGTCCCTGAGGGGCCATCAGGCACTGGCGTCAGGGCACCCCCAGGGGTCTGTCTTGATGGAGTTGCTGCCTCCTGAGAAGGAGGGTGGCGAAGGGGCACGTTTGGGAGACACAGATGCTTGCTGGGTGCTGGGTGGCTGCAGCAGAACCCGGTGCCAGGTCTCCTGGGCTCCTCAGCCCGGGATGCTCTGCTGGGCCCGGCTTGTGCCTCTGTGACCCCCACCCTGGCTGGGTGCGGGGGTGGGGGAGGCCAGGGGCTCAGGCAATGCCTTTTTCTTTCTTTTTTTTTTACTTAAAATTTTTTTTCCTTTTTTCCATTAGTTCTGTTTCTGTATTTTGTTGTTGTTGTTCATTTGATTTTTTTTTTTTTTTTTTTTTTTTTTTTTTTTTTTTTTTTTTTTTTTGCAGTAAATGCGTTTGAATGAGACTGAACGGTGGCAAATGGTACAGCTTTTCCCCATTTCTGAGGGGGGTCCCAGTCCCGGCTCCGGCGCTCACTAGCCAGGTGCCCTTGATAAAGCCTTTCCCTCCCTCCTCCCCCCCCCTCCCCCAGACCACACGTCCTGTCTGGATGTCTGGACTGTGCAGCCCCCGCCAGGCCCCGGGTGAGGCTGCAGCGAGGACACAGGTGCTTGCTGGAGGCGAAGGGGAATGAGCTCAGGGGAAGCTTGCCAGGAGGGCATCACGGTCGCAAGTGCCCCTCTGGCCTTAGGTTACAGATGGGGAAACTGAGGCCCGGAAAGGCAGCCTCCTTCAGGCCCCCGGCTGATGCCAAGACCCAGCGCCATACCTCCAGTCCTTCCCTTCCAGACTCATTTCACCCTCAGGACTGTCTCCTGCGGCTGTGGGGGGTGAGGGGTGGGGCCCGAGGCACCCTGGGGAGACTGGGGCCCGGAGGGAGCGGGGTGGGGCCCCCCACCCCACACTCCGCAGTGTCACCGACGAGCCCCCCCCGCAGTCCTGATTTCCTTTACGATCCCCCGAATTCCTGAAAGCAGGCCCTCCCACCGATCCAATTACAGAGCGCGGGCTGGGCTGTTTGCCGCGGTGAGCGGCTGGCTGGCAGGGAGGTCACATTAGAGAAGCCAGCGTGGGCTCCGATCGCAACCGGAGCGGCAGCCCCTTCTCACCCTGGCTGCGGGGCAGGGATGTGGGTGCAGGGAGCTTAATTTGGGGGCGCTGCAGGCCAGTCCCCCCACCCCACGGACAGCCCCTGGACACCGGGAGTGCAGGGCAGGGACGGCCTGGGAGGGGTCCAGGGCCAGCAGTGCATAATCCCGCCTTCTAGCCTCCCCCCCCCCCCCCCCCCCCCAGTCTAGACTATTCTAGGGCGTCACGGCTTCTTTGGGTCTGGCCAGGAAAACAAAACCAAGCCCCAGAGCCGCAGCAACCAGAGGCAGGAAACGGTGGCGAGGGGAGTGCGGGGGCAGGGGGGGGGGAGTGCGGGGGCGGGGGGAGGGGTGTCGGCGGCCAGCAGCGGCCAGCGGCCGGCCCGTGTGCTGTCCCCAGGAGCCTCAGTTTGCTCATCTGTGAAATGCACTCACTCATGTGTTTCTTTTCTGTTTTGTTTGTGGTTTGGGGGGCTTTTTTTTTTTTTTTTTTTTTTAAGAGACAGAACCATTGATTTGCTGTCCCACTTGTTTATGCATTCCTTGGTTACTTCCTGCATGTTCCCTGACCCGGGATCGAACCTGCAACCTTGGGTATCTGAGCCAGGGGCCAGGGCTCCTTTCCATTCATCCAGCACATGCTTATTGGGCTCTCCTGCATGCCAGGCTCGGGAAAGACCTCACCCAGAAAGCTGCACTTGAACGTGGAATGAGGGAGCAGACGGGCGGCCACGGGGACGGCTGGGAACGGGGGTGCGAAGGGGGGAGCAGGGCTGCAGCCACCTGATCAGACGAGGCAGCATGAAGTGTCACCTGCAGCCCCTCAGTTTCCTGAACCCGGAGCAGCCGAAGGGCCATGTCCCCCAGGGCCGTGGGGAGGGGAGGGGATGGCCGACGGGCCAGGGGCGAGTAGGGTCTGGGCAGACCTTCCGTCTGAAGAGAATCTGCACCCCTTCTCACCTCCACACACCCGGCCCTCCGCCCGCCCACCCACCCACCCACCCACCCAGGGCAGAGGGGTGAGAAGGGGGCCCAGGGAGGGTGCAGTGGGTCTGCCCTGGACCCCTAACACTGGCCATGTCCCACAGCCTCCAGGACACATCCCTCCCACCGCATTTCCATCGCCACCTCCATGATCTACCCACATTAGCCTCTCACCTTGTCCCAGCAGAGGTGGGGGCTGGGTCACTCGCTCCTCCATTCTCCTCGCCTCCTCCGTCTCTGAGCAGTGGGGGCGGGGTCCGCAGTGAGAGGGGACCAGAGCTCGGGGACCTGCCCCTGGCGGGACCAGGTCCTCAGGGAGCTCCGAAGGCCGGCCGGAGGGTGGCAGTGCCCCCACCACCTTGCACAGGCGCCCACGTGCCAGGTGTCGCGATGTGCGCCCAGGGCGGGCGGCCCGGCGTGCCCCCCCCATCTGAGCAGCTCTGTCCTCTTCACCCACAGGGTGCGCAGCCCCTGGGTGCCCTCATGCCTCGGGCAGTCCTGCACGCTGCAGGGCCGACGGGCCAGGTCCTCGCCCTCGATCTGGGACAGGTAACAGCCTGTGGTCTGCCCCGGGCCCTGGAGTGGCTGCATCCATCCCCGCAGACACGGTGCCTTGTCTGCGTCCACCTCCCGCCCCCCCCCCCAAACACAGGTGGGGAGGCCCAGAGAGGGTAGGGCACAGGCACCAGCACGCCCCACTGCTCCTCCCAGTGCCCACGGTGGGAGGTGAGGCCCCGGGCCCCCGAGTCAGGCCCCCTACCCTCCCAAGACCCTCCGTAGTCTCCAACCTCTGAGCGACCCGAAGGGGCTCCTGGTGGAAGCAGGAGGGGGTGCTCCCTGTGCCCAGTGAACGTATCATGGCGCCTACCCACCCCCACCCCCTCCACACACACCCAGCGCACCCCCTTCTCCCCCCTCAGCCCCCTGGCCCTGCACACCTCGTCAGGTCAGCTCAGATCCTGCTGGAACTCCCCAGACTCAGGGAAGCGAGGGGACCCCACCAGGCCCCACCGGGAAGGGTGCCCTGATGGGGGGCCTGGCCCTGGCTGGACCCCCTCCCCCTCCCTGTGCATCCAAGAGTCTGTTTTCAGGTGCCAGGGCCCAGAGCCAGCTCCCAGGAGGACGCAGAGCTGCCGAGGCCGGGCTGAGCCCCCCCCCCGCGGGCCCAGCGGCCTGGAGGCCCCACTTGCTCTCGGGGGGCCTGCCTCTGGCGTCATCTCTCGGTGGTTCTAACGGCCCGGCCCCGGGTGGTTGGTGCAGGGACCGCGGCGGCCGCCTGACTCCCCGCGGTGGGGGCAGGCCCCCCTGCTTTACTGGCGTGAGGCAGGCGGAGGTCAGACGGAGCTCCGGTTGTGCCCTGGGAAGGGGGGCCGTTTCTGGACCAGACCAAGAGGGGCATTATGCAAAGCTTCCAGGAGCTTCGCCCCAGGATTGGGTGACGGGCTGTGAGTGGCGAGGGGCAGGCGGGGGTCCCCAGACCTGCCACGGTCTGACGGGGGACTATGGGAGACCCTGCCGTGACCTTCCCAGAGCAGAGAAGGTCAGGGATGACACCTGAGTGTGAGGCAAGGCCTGCGTTTGCTCTGATGCAGGGTCCTGGGGGGCAGGCAGGCAGGGGGGCTGTGGTGGGGGAGGAGGGCCAGGGCTGGCGGTGCTGCCAAGTCTAGGACTGCAGCTTGGAGGGCTCTGGGTGTCAGAGGCTCAGGAAGGTGGGGGGAAGCAGCATTTGAGGGTTGGTGGGTCAGCTAGGAAGCTGTCCAGAGGCCAGGGATAAACTGAGGCTCAGAAGGGCAGGCTCCGTGAAGCTGGTTGCCTGGAGCGTGAGTAGGAAGGATGTCTGGGCCCAGGGTCCCCTCGGGTGGTCCCGGCTCTGCCAAGAGCCCCCCTCACAGCTCTGTCATCTCCTTCCCACACTTGCCTCATTGGCGTTGGCGAACCTGTTCCCTCTTCACCGCGTCTCCCGAGGCTGCAGACTCCGTGGGGCGGGAGCAGTGTTTATCTCGCTCGCCGCTGGGCAGTGGGACGGAAGGACAGGAGGTGACGTAGGAGATGCAGTAGGGGAGACGGGAGGGAAGGCGTTGGAGAGGCAGTTGGGCTGCAGCCGCCGGAGTGGGCATCATGCAGGTGGGTAAAGGCCCAGCTGTGCTTGTGGGTAGGTAGGCAGCCAGGGCTGGGGAGGAGAGGCGGCTGGCCCGGAGAGGCAGGGAGAGGGCTGCGGTGGGCAGGGGGGGAAGGGGGGGCACTGGGCCCCCGGGATGGGGCAGGGCTGCAGTGAGGGGCCCGGAGAGCTGGGATTGCAGGTCTGGAGGAGGCAGGGTGCGTAGGCGGACCAGTGACGTCCGGAGGTGTGGCCACAGGGGTGAAGGGGGCGGGTGTAAGGCATGGGTACCTACGGCTAAGAGGAGGGTTTATTTCTGTCTGGTCTGTCTCCTGAGCGCCAGGCACAGCTTCCTGGGGTCTTAGCGGGGCCCTCCTTTTCTCTGGGAAAGTAGAGCCTCAGCAGCTGAGGCCCTAGAAGGCTTTCCGGATGAGGGGGGAGGTAAGTGTCCCCCTTCCCCGGTGTCCTTGTGCCGGGTGCAGCTAGCTGGCCGCCGGGGTGGGCACGGCACCCCCTCGCACCCTCTCCCTTGCCCGGAGACCGCGGAGACGGCCAGTTTGGGGCCACGCAGCCAGTTCGGGGGAGGAAGGCTTGGTCTAGGCAAGGCGCTGCCGGCTCTGGGCGTCCGGGTCCCCGCCGGACGCCGCGGAGCAGCAGCGGGGGGACCCCGGCGAGCCGTGCCGCCCGGAGGTGGGCATCGGAAGGCGGGCGGTGGGTGCCGGCGGGCGCGCTCCGATCCAGGGTTCTCGAGCCGCCGCAGCCCCTGCCAACAGGTGCCTCCGCGCCGACTTTCTTCCCACGACGGCGGCGGCGGCGGCGGCGCGGGTGCCGCCAGGGGCTCGGGGGCTGCCGGAGCCGGGCCGGCTCCGGGGTCCCCGACCCCCGTGCCGCCCGCCCGCCGGGGAGAGAGAGGGCGCGGGCGGAGGCGGAGGCGCCGGCGCGGGGGTGCGCGCGCGAGGGTCAGGGCCGCCGGGGCGCACCCCGGGGCGCCCGGCCGGCCCGCGGCCCCCGCTCAGCGCCGCGGCCGCCGCTGCGTGTCTTTGCAGCGTGCTGCAAGAGCAAAAGAGCGAGCTGCGCAAGCGGCTGACCTACACCACGAACCGGCTGCAGAGGCTCGAGAGCGAGTTCGGCTCCACGCGCAGCTACCTGGAGGTGGAGCTGAGGCGCGCGCAGGAGGAGCTCGAGAAGGTCACTTTGAAGCTGCGCAGGTCAGGGTACGGGACGGGCAGGGCAGGGCGGGTCCGGGGCGGCCCGGGCGGGCTCGCAGGTCGGCGGCGGCGGCGCGCGCCGGAGCGCTGCCCCCGGAGCCTCTGGAAGACGGGGAGCCCGGGGTCCGGCGAGGGTAAGCTCTGTTTTTTTCCAAAGTCTGCTTGGCCCGGAGGGCTACTGAGCCAGCAGCATCTGAACCGGGGTCCTGGCTACCGCCAGGGACAGGCTCCTTCCCGGCTCCCCATCCCCATCCCGCTCCCCGTCTGTCTCCGCTCCCCGTCCCCGTCCCCGTTTCCCGTCCCCGTCCCCGCTCCCCCATCCCCGTCTCCGTCCCCGCATCCCCGCACCCTGTCTGTCTCCGCTCCCCTTCCCCGTCCCCGCTCCCTCCTCCGCTCACACTGACAGCAGCACGAATGTGACGCCGAAACACACGCAAAGAGAATGCAAACTTTGCTGGTGGCCGTTTCTTTTGGTTTTGGATTTTAATGTTTTTTTTAAAAATTGATTTTGAGGAAAGGAGAGAGAGAGGGAGAGAGAGGGAGGGAGGGAGGAGGCACAGAACACCCGATCTCTACGCAGCACTGGCCCCCGCAGTCAGGTTCCTGCGGGGGGACCAGGAGACCGTGTCCTGTCACCGTGTGTTATATCACAGCGCGCACCCAGCGCCCACCGCACGGTCTTCTCTTCCCAGCACCTGCGCTGGGACGAAGCCCCTCTCCAGGGGTGTGAAATGCGCGTCCGCGGGCTCTGAGTGGGGACCTGCAGAGACTCTGAATAGCAGGCCATCCCTCTCTCTCCAGGGGTCCTGGCCCCTCGCCTCGGATGACTTAGCTCTAATCGCATGTTTTCCGCTGTGCGGGGAGGGGCAGTTAGGCGGGACAGGGCTGTGGTGGCCGCAGGGGGCCTTTGTCCAGCCTGGGGGGACTGGGAGGGCCAGACGAGGCGCCGAAGCGGCTTCTATTGCGTCCTGTTCCAGGATTCAGACGAACTACATGTCGCTGCAGCGGATCAACCAGGAGCTAGAGCAAAAGCTGAACTCCTTGGTGAGGGCCACCGCTCCCAGCAGCCCCTCCCCCGGGTCTCCGGCTCTGGCGGGGGCCCTGCCAGCCTCGCTGTCACCCCGCGCCCAGGCAGAAGCTGAGTCACGGGCCTTATTGCCTGAAACACACACGCCTCGGGGCTGGGGCTGTCCCACCCTCTGGGCACTGAATGGATGGTGCTCGCTCTCGGGAAAGTGAGGGGCGGGGCTCGGACCCCTGGGGCTCCAGGAGCAGGTGTGAGCGCCTGACCTGGAGGGTGTAGCAGGGTGTGGGGGAGAGGCCATGACTGGGGACAGTGACCCCAGCTCAGCAGAGGCCCGGAGATGCAGGGATGGGAGGACAGAGGCATGAGCTCAGGCCCTGAGGGAGCATGGGGACCCGTCCCTCTGCCTGTGGCGGGGGGAAGTGGGGAGCGACCCTCCTGGGGACACACACACACACACACAGTCTGCAGTGACAGACAGTGCCGCCTTCCCTCTGTCGATCGGGCTGGCATGACCTGGGTTGGAGAGCTAGAGGCTCTGTGGGCCCCCTGGTGGGGCTGGTGGGTTCTGGTCCCCCCCAACCCCCCGCAAAGGGAGGACTTTCCTTTCTGTCTAGTTTGGTTATAAGGTTCTTTCGTTTTTAAAAATCAGAAATGGGTGTTCAGTGCCTGCCTGCCAGCCCGCCTGCCTTCCAGGTGCTGTCAGAGCCGTGGCCGTGGCGGGCTGGCTCTGCCCGGCCCTTTCCTCCCTGAGCCTTGGCTTCTCAGGCTGTTGGATGAGATGGGTCCGGCTTTGTGCTGAGCGCAAGGCATCCTCGCTCAGCCCTCACCCCAGATCCCAGGAGGCCGGCTTGCTCTCCTGAGGTCCGGAGGAGAAACCGAGGCTCAGGGAGGCAGACCCGCCCCCGCCCTCTGGCTTGTCGGTGGCGGAGTAGACCTTGAACCTGGGGCGGTCTGTGCTCTTACCCCTGTGTTCCGGGGCCCCCCAGCACCTGGTCACACAAGAGGCCTAAGGGAACAAGTGAGCGTGAGCCCCAGGCCTTGGCTGACCGCCTCCTTCCACTGCCCTCGTCCTGACCTAGGGCAAACACTATGATGAAGAGAAACGAGCTCTGTCTCATGAGATTCTCGCTCTCAACAACCACCTCCTGGACGCCAGGTTGACCATCGACAAACTCTTAGAGGACAACGTGAGTGTGGGCTTGTTCTGGCCCTGCGGGGCGCAGGCTCAGGTTTGAGGGGCAGGCGCAGGGCACAGGGGCAGGCGGGCGGGGCCTCCAGGAGTGCCAGGGAGCCGGGAAGGACAGGGCTGCCTCACCAGACACACTGCCGAGGGAGGAGGCAGGAACACTGGGGCAGTTTCCCATTCAGGTTAGGGCTTCCCAGCTCCAGGTTTAGGGCATGGCCGTTCTCAGCGGGCATTCTGGCCACATGCCTACTCATGGGATTCCTCAAGAGATGGGCCTGGCCGCCCTCCATGGATCCCTGGCCGCTGACCATGCATCCACTAATTAGTGTCCGCTCCCCGCCAGAACCTCCTGAGCTGAGGATGTTGTGTGAACACACAGGCAAAAAAAATCCCCTGCCCACGTGAGTTTACATCCGCGTGGGGCAGACAGACGGCAAACAGGAGAAACTCTGTAGTGTGGAAGGAGTGCTAAATGCTGCTGGAAAAAATCAAGCAGGGGCAGGGGCTGGGGAGTTGCCAGTTGCAGGGCGAGCCAATTTCAGTAGGATGCTTCTGGAAGAGGCTGCTGCCCAGCCCGGAAGGGGGCGAGGAAGCTCAGGTGGCTGACTGAAAGAAGGTCGGAGACAGACCAGAGTGGGGGTCTGAGGTCAGGAAGATAATGGGAGGCCACCTCCTAGAGGCTCCGATAGGGACCTGGGTTTATTCTGGAGGTTCCTGAGCAGAGGAGTAACCTGAGTGGATGTCCCACGTTTCCTGGGCTCACACAGCCACCCCACTGAGAACACGCTGTAGGAATGAGGGTGGGAGCAGGGAGAGCGAGGCGCAGGGCGGGGAGGGGCTGTGGTGACGATCCAGGCGAAATCCGTGGAGGCAGCCGGGAGGCAGGCAGAAGGGCTCGGTGCTGGTGCTGCTTTGAAGATGGAAAGCAGCAGCAGGATTGACGGAGATGGAGATCTCAGATTCGCTGTGACAGGAGATGGGTCCTGTCATTTCCTGCTGGGGGCACCTGGGGAGGGAGGGAGGGAGGGAGTAGCTGGAGAGGAGCAGGGGCTGGCTTCCGCGGTCACATCAGTGACAGCGCTGTGAAGGGTGAGCCTTTGGGGCGGAGGTCAGCATCCTGTGGCGTTGGCACCGCAGACGGGCCGAGGTGCCCCAGGAGGGCATCCGATGAGGAGAGGGCAGGCCCAGCCCAGGGTGCTTCTCAGGTCTGCAACCGACTCAGCGGGCAGGCCAGGCGGTGCCCACAGCCCTCTGATGCCAGGGGCAGCCTGTCCGGGCCTCACAGTGGGGCCAGTTCTCAGCCCTCAGTCAGCTGTGCCCTTCCCAGGAGGCCCAAGCAGGCGAGAAGGCTGGAGACCCAGGTGCCCTCCACTGTGCAGCCGTGCTGGGGCACCGGCGTCAGCACAGAGGGGCACCAGGTGGGGGTGGGGGAGAGCAGCCATGGCAACCCTGCCTTCAACAGCTTGCCTGAGCTGCGGGCACCCAGTGCTGATGAAGATGGGCCTGTCAGAGGACCCCAGACTCCTCAGTGCCCAGGCCCTCACCGTGGACGGTGCCTGGGCTGGGGTGGGAATAAAAGGCCCAGCCACAGGCCCATGCAAGGGAGATTTTCCGAAGACAAACCAAACCCCGATTCCTACTGTTTGCACCTGTTTTCAGCTCAGGAAGCTGAGCAGGCAGGTCCCCACCTGGACCTGGGGTCACACAGCCCCTGCGGCCCACTCGCCCAGCCCTGCAGCCACCCCCGTCAGGCCACACTCTGAGAACAGGGTGTGAGCGGGGAGTCAGGGGCGTGGCAGGGCTGCAGGCGTGGGCCTGGCATTGCAGTGCTGCCTCTCCACCGAGTTCTCTGCTGGGCCTCCCGGAGGTCTGGGGCCAGGCGGACCCTTCTCCCGCTGCCCCCACCTGGCATGGCTCCCACCTGGGGCAGCACCCCTCCGTGCACCAGCAGCTCCCTTTCTGCAGGCGACGGCGAGAGGCCCAGGATGGTCCTTGTCCTGCGAGCTGCTCCTGGGCTCTGCCCGCCACTTTCTGGTCAGGGCGGCGGGGCAGGCCTGGGCCGACACCTCTTTTGTGTTTTAGGAGCTCTATAGGAAGGACTGCAACCTAGCGGCCCAGCTGCTGCAATGCCGGGAGACCTTCGACAGGGTCCAAAAGGTGTCTGAGGTAACGTGAGCGCCACCCTGCCAGGGCCCCCCCCCCCCCCCCCGGGCCACCCCCAGCACACCTCCTCACCAGCCTGCGCATCCCGCTCAGTGCCCTTGCCCGTTCCAAGCCCCTAGCCACTGAGCGACCCTCTGCGAGCCTGGCAGGAGCCCTGCGGTTTGGTATGGGCACAATTACTGGCAGTTTCAGAGATGAGAGACCCGGCTGCACATGGAAGTGACTCAGCCAAGGCCACAGGGCTCTCTGATGCCAGAGTCAGGCTGGTGCAGGGTGGGCCGCCCACCCTTCACCCAGGCCTCTGTCCTTGTCCCCTCTCCCCGGGCCTGGGCCACGCCTGAGACACTCACAAAACAGATCAAACAGTAGCGGGACGTGCCCACAGGCACCGGGCGCCTGTGCCACCCCCGCTGAGCGCCTGGCCCTCCATCTTGGTTGCATGCGTTTCTGAGTCTGTCTTGAGCAGCAGCGCTGCACGCAGCAGGGGGAAGCAAGTCAGCCCCTCGGTGGGAGGAAACGTGGGGGAGGGAACTGCGGCCCGAGAGGGGCCCGGTGAGACCCTGAGACCCTGGTTCCAGCCGGCTGGGGGCCAAGGTGCCCAGGGGTGCTCGGGCGTATGCAGCAGCGTCCCGGGCCCCGGCTCCAGCTGGTGCCACGCGAGGGCCCAGGGCAGGTCCCTCCCGGTTCCTCTGCCTGCGTGTGGGTCCTAGGCTGACGGGCCCCCCGCCCGCCCCCTCCCCGTTCCAGCTGCCCGTGGAGTTTCAGGAGCGCTTGAGCCTCCACTTGGAGAAGCACGGCTGCAGCCTGCCCACCTCGCAGTACCGCTCGGGCAGCGTGCCGCTCTGCGTGATTGCCAAGGTGCTGGAGAAGCCCGAGCCCAGCAGTGTGTCCTCTCCCATGTCCCTGTCGGTCTCGGTGTCCGAGGCCTCCACCCGAGACCTGGCCTTCCGCGAGGGGATGCCCAAGTCGAGCCTGCTGCCCCCCTACAAGGAGGACACCTACTGCAGCGACTCCGCCCTCTTCTGCCTGGAGGAGTCCCGGCGTGAGCGTGACCGGCGGCCCAGCGTGGACGCCGTGGCGAGCAGCATGAGCTTCCTGCAGACCCAGAATTCCACCGACAGCGCCGCCGGGGAGGAGGAGGCCGGGGCTGCGGCCGCCTATCCCGAGGCCTACCGAGAGGCCTACCCGGAGGAATACCGGCGCCAGGCCTACCAGGCTGAGGGCTATCAGGGTGAGGCCTACCGGGGCGAGGCCTACCGGGGCAAATCTTACCAAGATGAGGCCTACCGGGGCAAATCCTACCAGGCTGAGGCCTACCGGGGCAAATCCTACCAAGATGAGGCCTACCGGGGCAAGTCCTACCAGGATGAGGCCTACCGGGGCAAATCCTACCAGGATGAGGCCTACCGGGGCAAGTCCTACCAGGATGAGGCCTACCGGGGCAAATCCTACCAGGATGAGGCCTACCGGGGTGAATCTTTCCAAGATGAGGCCTACCGGGGTGAATCTTTCCAAGATGAGGCCTACCGGGGCAAATCCTACCAGGATGAGGCCTACCGGGGCAAGTCCTATCAGGATGAGGCCTACCGGGGTGAATCCTTCCCTGGCTTCACCACCTCACTGCCCACATCCAGCTCCTACTCGAGCTTCAGCGTCACCTCGGAGGAGAGGGAGCGCGGCGAGGCCAGCACGCTGACCGCCTCGCAGCGGGCCGCCTACCTGGGAGGCTGCGACCAGCTCTTCCAGCGCCCGCAGCCCCCCACCTACCAGAGCAGCCGGCCCTATGCCAAGGCCTCCACGGCCCTGCTGCAAACCCCAGTGCCCCCCGAGTACGAGCTCGAGACCACCTTCCCGAGCTACCAGGCCGAGCCCTTCAGCCAGCAGGCCGTCCCCAAGACCTCGGCGGCGGCACACCTGTGGGGCCAGCGGGCCAAGTCCCCGGCCTCCCGGCTGCCCAAGGGAGAGGCGCGCAGCCGGCGCGACCAGTGGCGCCCGGTGCACATGGAGGATCTCGGGGCCCACGCCTTCCCGGCCCCCTCGAAGCGGCCCGCGCCCCGCAGCTCCTCTCAGCGCTACTATTCGAGAGGCACCTCGGCCAACCTGCCCCCTCGCCGCTCCGGCCCCCTGTACGCCAACTACAAGGCCAACAACCTCGGGGAGGACAGCTTCTCCCACGGCCACCAGGCCGAGTCCTGCTTCCTCGGGGCTCACGGCTCTGCCAAGCCGATGCCTGGCTATGCAGCCAGCGAAGATGAGGGAGAGAGGGAGAGGCCCCTGGGCCAGCTGAGCGGGGTGGCCAGCCCCGAGCCCGACAGCCTCTTTGGCTCCAGAGAGTCCTTCGAGCCCAGCTCCATGGAGGGTTCCCCTGAAATGCATCGCGCAGCCCGCCGGAACCCCCAGGCAGCCCTCCCCCGGAGCCGGAGCGCCGGCGGCCTCAGCCGCAAGGACAGCCTCACCAAGGCCCAGCTCTACGGCACCCTGCTCAACTAAACGCTGCCCGCAGGCCGAGGCCGAGGCGGGGGCTCCCGCCGCCCCTGTGCGCCCCAGGACGCTGCCCCACCCGTCTCCAGTCTCTTCTCCCTTGAGCCCTGTCCACAATGAACAATGACTGCTCGTCCACGTATGTGGGGTGACTGCTCACCCATGCATGTGGGGTGACTGCTCGCCCATGTATGTGGGGCGGCTTCTCGCCCATGTATGTGGGGCGGCTTCTCGCCCATGTATGTGGGGATGACTTCTCGCCCATGTATGTGGGATGACTTCTCGCCCATGCATGTGGGGTGGCTTCTCACCCATGTATGTGGGATGGCTTCTCGCCCATGTATGTGGGATGGCTTCTCGCCCATGTATGTGGGATGGCTTCTCGCCCATGTATGTGGGATGGCTTCTCGCCCATGTATATGGGGTGACTTCTCGCTCATGTATGTGGGATGGCTTCTTGCCCATGTATGTGGGATGGCTTCTCGCCCATGTATGTGGGATTGCTTCTCGCCCATGTATGTGGGACTACTGCTCGCCCATGTATGTGGGATGGCTTCTCACCCATGTATGTGGGGTGATTGCTTGCCCATGACGAATGTGGGATGACTGCTCACCCATGTATGTGAGGTGACTTCTCGCCCACGAATGTGGGATGACTTCTCTCTGCCTCAGTATGTGGGATGTCTGACCCCTCTTTGTCTCGTGACCCCTGTGCCTCAGTGACCTCCCTACCTTGTAGTGACCCCTGTGCCTCAGTGACCTCCCTACCTTGTAGTGACCCCTGTGCCTCAGTGACCTCCCTACCTTGTAGTGACCCCTGTGCCTCAGTGACACCTCTCCCACGTAGTGACCCCTGTGCCTCGTAGTGACCCCGCTCCACACAGTGGACCCCCCGCCTCAGAGACCCCGCTCCACACAGTGGACCCCCCGCCTCGTAGTGACCCCGCTCCACAGTGGACCCCCCGCCTCATAGAGACCCCGCTCCACACAGTGGACCCCCCGCCTCGTAGTGACCCCGCTCCACACAGTGGACCCCCCGCCTCATAGAGACCCCGCTCCACACAGTGGACCCCCCGCCTCAGAGACCCCGCTCCACACAGTGGACCCCCCGCCTCGTAGTGACCCCGCTCCACACAGTGGACCCCCCGCCTCGTAGTGACCCCGCTCCACACAGTGGACCCCCCGCCTCGTAGTGACCCCGCTCCACACAGTGGACCCCCCGCCTCAGCGACCCCGCCTCACACAGTGGACCCCCCGCCTCGTAGTGACCCCGCTCCACCAGTGGACCCCCCGCCTCGTAGTGGACCCCGCTCCACACAGTGGACCCCCCCGCCTCGGTAGTGACCCGGCTCCACACCGTGGACCCCCGCCTCATAGAGACCCGCTCCACACAGTGACCCCCCGCCTCGTAGTGACCCCGCTCCACACAGTGGACCCCCGCCTCAGAGACCCCGCTCACACAGTGGACCCCCCGCCTCATAGAGACCCCGCTCCACCAGTGGACCCCCCGCCTCAGAGACCCCGCTCCGCACAGTGGACCCCCCGCCTCAGAGACCCCGCCTCCCCCACAGTGGACCCCCCGCCTCAGAGACCCCGCTCCACACAGTGGACCCCCCGCCTCAGAGACCCCGCTCCGCACAGTGGACCCCCCGCCTCGTAGTGACCCCGCTCCACACAGTGGACCCCCCGCCTCAGAGACCCCGCTCCACACAGTGGACCCCCCGCCTCATAGAGACCCCGCTCCACACAGTGGACCCCCCGCCTCAGAGACCCTGCTCCACACAGTGGACCCCCCGCCTCAGAGACCCCGCTCCACACAGTGGACCCCCCGCCTCAGAGACCCCGCTCCACACAGTGGACCCCCCGCCTCAGAGACCCCTCCCCCACGTAGTCACCCAGTGCAGCCTGACAAGAGGACCCCTGTGATGTGACCCCCAGCGCCACCACGATGGAACTCCCCGAGGACGTTTCTCACGCCAACATCTTTCCCCACCCGAGCTGAGCATTCCTCCCTTTTATAAACTGAAACTTTTTCTAGAGAAAAAGGGTCTTTCTCAACGCACGGGGCCTCCAGCTCCCTGGATGGCAGCCTTGCGTTTCCAACACACAGCTCCTTTATTTTCCGGGCGAGGACTTGTGGGGCCTGGCCCTTGGAGGGAAGGACAGTGTTGACACCGCGAAGGCCAGCGGCGAGGAAACCTGGAGCTCTGCCCACAAGGAGAGGAGCCAGCGGGCGAAGGGACGTGAGACGCTGTGAACGTTTCCGAGTGTGGCTGACCCCGCGCCCCAGCTCTCCCGTGGTCGTCGTCCCGAGTTGGGCCGGTGCTCACCTCCCAGTTCCCGGTGCTCGTCCCCGTGTCCCGCTGCCCGCACCACCTGGCTCTACCTCAGCCGTGAAGAGCCTCTCACCGCCCCACCCCGAGCTTGCTCTCCTGTCTGTGATGCATGCCGCCAATCACTCCTGTATTTACACTAACTAATAAAGATTCTTGGTGGAAAGCATTCGGGTTTGAGCAGTTTCTTCTCCCCACTGCCTTTTGCCCTCTGGGACCTGTGGCCCTCAGTGGATCCCCTCTCCGCTGGACCGCCCCACCGTCCTTCGCCCCCTCCAGCCAGGACTGGTTCCTGAGAGCTCTCCTGGCCACCAGTGTCTTTGTTGGAAGTCTGGATTCCTCCACTGCCCAACCCGCTAGACATGACCACTGCCCTGGCGGCCGGTGTTCCCACGGTCACACCCCATCCTTTCCTGCGTGTTAGACTTTGCTCTGCATTCCCTTTGCTGGGGCTCCGTGATCCAGGCCCCATTTTCCTTTCTCAGTGGACGTCCTAGAGGGCGGTCTCACTGGGGAGCGGTGGCCACTCCCCCTGCACCCGGGGCCCCATCGCGCTGTCCTTCCCCCAGGGCTGTCCCTCTGGGGGTAATCTGCCTAGGTCTGCCCTTGGCCTTGGGCTTTCTGCAGTTGCCCTGAGGTGCGTCTGCTTGTGGACTTGTCCTTCTTGGGAATTCACAATCTTGTGTCTGCAAGTTGGTACCTTCCATCAGTTCTGGAATATTCTCAGTTATGGTTTTAGATTAGAGGCCCAGGGAGGGAGAGGAGGGTATCCCTCAGTCCAGCCTGTACTCTCTCCAATTTGGGATCCCTTGCAGGATGTCCGACTGCCTGATTCCAGCCTAAATAGGCAGTGGGACATCCCTCTCACAACCCAGGACTGCTGGCTCCCAACCGCTCACATGTCTGCCTGCCTGATTGCCCCTAACCACTTCTGCCCGACAGCCTGATCACCTCCTAACCACTCCCCTGCCAGCCTGATTAATGCCTAACTGCTCTACTGCTGGTCCAATTGCCCCCAAATGCCCTCCCCTACAAGCCCAGTCACTCCTAACTGTCCTCCCCTTCAGGCCTGGTTGCCCCAAACTGTCCTCCCCTTCAGGCCTGGTTGTCCCCAACTGCCCTTCCCTACAGGTCTGGTCCCCGCCAGCTGCCTCCCCTGCCTTCCTGGTCGCCCCAACTGCCCTCCTCTGCCAGCCCAGTCACCCTTAACTGCCCTCCCCTGCAGGCCATCTTGTGGTGGCCATCTTGTGTCCACATGGGGGTAGCCATCTTTGATCACATGGGGGCAGCCATCCTGTGTGTTGGAGTGACGGTCAATTTGCATATCACTCTTTTATAAGGTAGGCTAGTATTTCCCTGCCCCCTCTCCCTCCCCTCCTCCTCACTGCATCCTCCGTCTGCCCCCCTTCAGCTGGCCCACACGCTCTGTATGCACTGTCTTCACTAATCCTCTCCCCTTGTGCTCAGCCACCACACACAGTCACGGAGCTTTTTGCTTTAGCTATGAGTGTTTTCCTCTCCTACCCGCTCTCTCTGGTGGTTTGGCAAACCCACGATGCGACTCTCTAAGTTCCCTACTCCCTGGAGCCAGTTCCCAAACACAGTGGGCACAGCGGTCCCCCGTCCGCCTGGCACGTCTATCCTGTGGGGTCTGCGGGGATCTGTTTCCCTTGGTCCCTGCCCCAGCTGCTTCGTTCCTCCGGAGGCCTGGTTATCGTTGACGCCCTGAGGATGCTCTTATAGGTTCTTCGAAACCTGGCATGGGGGCCCTCCCAGGGGCTTCATGTTCCCTCCTTCCAGGGCCAGCCACTTCCCACTGGGGACCACCTGGCCCAGGGCAGGCCTTCAGGTTCTCTGGCCTGCCCGGCTTCATCTGTCCAGGGTGGGTTTGTCTCTTGCCAGGCAACCCCAAGCGGGAGGGGCTTTGGTGGTGGCTTCTAGCATCTCTGACCTTGACCCACCTCTGCAGAGGAAGCCAGAGGACCCAACTTCCCTCCCCCAGGAAGCAGCCTCCAGAGTCAGAGGGGCTGTGGAGAGGTACGGGGGCCGTTTTTCCATGGGCAGACGGAGGAAGCAACCCTCAATGGACTGGGAGGAGGGGGACACCTGGAAAGGTGGAGGAGAGAGCGGCTCCAGCACCCGGTGGGTTCTCTCTCAGATGCTTTCCCATGGGGAGCCTGAGCCTCACCAGCCCCCCACCCCCTGGTCAGCCATGACACAACAGCAAGGCCGAGAACACTGAGGGCTACCAGCCTTGGCCCAGAGCCCCTCTAAGATTCAGGGTGCTGGCCCCACATCGTCTCAGAGCCTGAGGCTCCCATCGGTGCCCTCCAAAGGCAGCTGTCCTGGTGGGGGGTGCCCTCTTCTACCAACCCCTTCTCCCTGCACCCGGAATCCTGCCGCATCAGAGAAACCCTGTCTGTGTACCCACCATCTACCCACCTGCCACGTATGTTCCTCCTCAATCCCACAGGGAGTGCAGAGTGGGCTGTGCCACCAGCTGGCCACGTGACTCTGTCTGGGCAAGTCTCAGATCCCTCTGGTCCAGTTCCCCCTCTGGAGCCTAGGACAGGGACTGGCGAGCTTCCCAGGGGCCCCTACACGGGTGCCGGTCCCATGCGGAGCCCCAGCTGGGACGGGGGATCTGAGGGAGGGGAAAGGCACAGGCTCTGGAGTCAGATGGCCCTGGGCGCATCCTTCTGCCCTCCGGGCAGTGGTTTCCTCAACTGGACAGAGCGATCATGGCCATCTACAGGACCTGCGAGCATGAGCTCCATGTGCCATGGCCACGGCCGGGCCCGCAGCACTCAGAGCCACGGCCACGCCCACAGCACTCAGAGCCACGGCCACGCCCACAGCACTCAGAGCCACGCCGGCACCTCCAGATGAGGGGTTCTTCCCCACGACAGCTGCAGGCCAGCCGTGCAGATGTCTGAGCGAGTCAAGGTGAACACGCAGCCCAGGAAGGCGAGGCAGCCCAGCCCACGCTTCTTCATCCCTGCTCCACTTTCCAAAGTTAGCTTCTCATTCTCACATCGTGAATGGCAAACTCCCCGCCACCTGGCAGAGGGCCAGAGTGAGCCTCTAAGAATGCTCTTCGGAAGAAAGCGTTCAGAGAAGGAAACAGAGAGGCATAGAGTCCACCTGCCATTCTTCCCAGTAAGTCACCACCCAAGGGGAGGGAGGGGTTCGCAGACAGCTGGGCTGGGGCAGAGCTGATCAAGCCCACAAGCAGCACTGAGCACAGCACTGTGGCTCCTGCCCATGCGGACCCCCAAGGGGACCAGCCTGAAAAAGAAACGAGCTGGAGGACAGTTCCTGACAGCAGACTAGGCCCGGAGCCAGGCTCAGGGGGAGAGGCTGTTACCCACGATTCCTGCAGCTCCCCCACCCGCCCATGGCCTTCTTCTTAGGCACTCGGTGTTTCCTCACTGAATCCACCTGCCTCCTCCAGGAAGCCTTCCAAGGACCCCTCCGCCCTGAGCCATGGCATCTGCAGGCCCCTGACCCTTTGGTGGACCCTTGGCCTCGCGGGCAGCCCCTCAGTAACAGTCCTGGTTGGGTTAGTGCTCAGCGGCCCCGCAGGTCCCAGCAATGGGTCTTCCTCGAAGTTCCTCAGGGCCCTGCCTTCTCCACGTCACTCCGTCACCCGGCAGGGGCACCGGCGTGGGCAGCGAGCGCACCTGACAGGGCGGGGGCAGGCCCAGGGACCAGCTGGCGTGCTCCGTGGGGGAGGGAGAGGCCGGGGCCTGAGCAGACCGGGCCAGGCTAGGCCCTGAGGGACGGGTGGGCTGCCATGCTCTGCCGAGGACAAACCTGGGGTCCAGGGCCCCCTTTCCCTGGACCCCTCGTCGGGACCCGCAGAGCGAGGCTGCGCCCTCTCCAGATCCCAGCATTCTCATTTCGAGCTCCAGCGGGCGCGAGTGGGGCGGCGAGAGGAACTGCCAACACACATTTACCGCTGAAGTCACCTACGAAACAGCGAGACGCGGTGTTTACTGGGCGGCACGAGCAGTGTGCCAGGCGCTCACTTCCCAGCCTCACAGCTGAGACAGAAGGCTCCTGGCCCCATTTCAGAGGCGCCGAGGACCCGGGGAGGAGTGCCAGCCTCGGTATTTAGTCCCACCCACCCCCGGGGTGCCGGGGGCGACCATGTCTGTCCAGGGGCGCAGCGCTGGAAGGCTCAGTGCCAGATCTTGATGTCACCCTCCCAGGAGCAGGTGGCGAGGACGGAAGGCAGCACAGGGTGGAAGGTGGTGCCCACGCAGGCCTGCGTGTGCCCGTGTAGCGTGCGTGCCCGGCTGGCCGTGCGGAAGCAGTAGAGCAGGACCCGGCCGTCCGCGCTGCCTGTCACCAGCAGGTCTCCGTCGGGGGAGCACTCGCAGCCCACCGCGTAGCCTTCCACCTGCAAGGGCGACACGGTGAGCCCCAGCTCGCCTGCGCAATGGCAGCCACCCACCCACGACAGAGTGGCAGAGCCCGAGCTCCCCCCACACGGTTCTGGGGTGACCGTGTACAGGTTACCTCAGTGGTGCCCAGGAGGGCTGGCACTGCTGACATCACCAGGCCCTGGCCCCGCCCCCACAGGAAGCAGGTCTCAGTGATGAAAGGGGGCGGAGCTAGAGACTCTGTCCCGCCCCATCCCATGTGAGCGGAGTCAGAGGAAACCTTTCCCCCTGCAGCTGGGGTCCGGGGCAGAGACCAGCCTGGCATAGACACCAGGCCACACAGCATCTGCTGGACAGAGGTCTGTGCACTCTGACCCGACCCATTGCTGATGGCTGGCATCGCGTGGCGGGGGCTCTGGGGCCAGCGCTCAGCCTTCTGAGGGTGGAGTTGGGGGTGGGGGTGGGGGAAGGGGTGGAATGGGGGAGGGAGGAGGGGCCAGGTAAGCCGTACCTTGTGCCCTTCGTAGCGCCGCCTTCTGCTCATCCGGTAGGGCCACACGGCGGAGAAGAGGGCCAGGTAGTTGCCATTGGTCTGGGCCAGGAACACGGGCTCCCGCGGGTGCAAGGCCAGGCTGGGGCAGGTGTACCTCTCCTGAGAAACGGGGCCACACAGAGGGTCAAGGATGCTTGGGCTGTGCCTGCCGCCTCTGCAGACACGCCGCCCTGCTCTCTGCTCACAGGTCAGTGTGTTTCCTGCTGCTGCTGTAACAACTGCCTCAAACTCAGTGGCTTGAAACACACAGACTTCGGACCCTGCAGATCTGGAGGTCAGAAGTCTGAGCAGGCCCTCGCTGGGCTAATCATGGTGTCAGCAGAGCTGTGCTGGCTCCGGAGGCTCCAGGGGGACGTACTTTGTGCGCTTCCAGCTTCCAGGAGCCACTTGCCCTCCTTGGCCCATGGCCCTTATGGCAGATCTTAAAGGGCCCCCCAAAATAGATTCACATCCTAATTCCTAGGGCCCGTGAATGACGCCTTGCGTGTCTTTGCAGAAGTAACTGAGTTAAGCATCTCGATGTGGGGAGTTACCCTGTATTATTGCCTACGTTCAGCCACGTTATCCCTCTGAGGGAGGCACGGGAGGTGGGACGCACACGGTGATGTGAGCACGGATCAGAGAGCGATCTGAAGATGCTGGCGCACAGCTCGGAGGGATGCCCAGTATCACCAGCAGCCACCAGACACGAGGCAGCAAGGGACAGATCTGCCCTGCCAACACCCCATTTCAGCCCAGTGATACGGAGTCTAACTGCCATCCTCAGAAATGGGTGGGAACACACCGCTGATGGCGTGAGCCTCCCATCTGTGGTAACACGCTCCCCGGGAAGAGAGAACGAATGTGCGTGCCCATCCCCCCACCCCCATTCCACAGGGGGCCCTGGGGCAGCCAGCGCAGGGTCCCACGCGGTCCAAAAGCACCATCAGTGAAGGGGTGAATGATCAAGCGAGAAGATAAATGAGGAGTGTTCAAACCCTCAGGGAGAGCTCACTGTTTGAGAGGCTCAGTCCCACAGAAGCACCCTTGGGAGCTCCCTTCTCAGCAGCGCCTGTCCGTTCACATTTTAAGAGTTGCCCAAGTTCAGAGGCAAAGCAGGAGCAGCCTAGTATGCCATCAGAGGCATGGATGCCGGGCTGAGCTCCCCGGTGATGCTGCCGGCAAGGAGGTGTGCGTCTGGGACAGCTCAGCCAGCAGTGCTCCGCCCCCTCACTCCTTCCCCTGCTCTCCCCTGGGGCTGATGGAGGCAGGAAGCCCCGGTGCTCAGAGGTGTCCCCCATCCCCTTGCTTTTCCTAGGAGGTTACACTGGACCCTAAAGTGAGATCTAGAGACAGGTTTGCTCAGGGTCACGCAGAACCATCGGAAAACAAGGGGAAAGCAAGGAGAGGGAGCAGGTGTGCATGTACACCTGACACGTATTTTTAAATTCAGGGTGGGAGCACCAAAGAGATCAGCCATGGCTTGTTTGAAATCTTAAACGATGGTTGCGGTGGTGATGATAGTGACAGTTAAAATGATGATGATCATGTGGTGGTGGTGGTAGTGATGATGATATGATGATAATAATGATATGGTGATGATGATGGTAACAATGGTGATAGTTATGATGATAGGGATAGCAATGATTAAGGTGATGATGGTATGGCGATGATGGTGATAGTTATGATGATGGTGGTGGTAATCACAGTGATAATGGTGATTAGTAATGATAGTGGGGGTGGCAATGGTGATGAAGGTGGTGGTGGTGGTGGTGGTTGTGGTGATGGTGATGATGATGATGATGGTGATTGTGATGGTGATGGTGGTGGTGATGATGGTGGCGGTGGCAATGGCGGTGGTGGTGGTGATGATGATAGTGATGATAGTGGTAATGATGGTGATAATATAAGTAATGCATTTATGAAGCAATCCCTGTACCTGGCACTATTCTAGACCCTTAATAAGTGTTCTTTAAATTCTCAAAACCACTCTATGAGGCAAGTAATATTCTCACCCTCAATTTTCTGAGAAGACAATAAAAATCAAAAGGGCTAAGTAATGGGCCCAGCGCCCCCAGTTTGTAAGTGTTGAGTCCAGGACCATAATTCAGGTGGTCTAACTCCTGAGTCACAACTCCTGCCAAAGCCACCAGCAATGAAGGGCAGAGTCCCATGGGCTGGATGGGTGGCAGAGAAAGGGGAGGGGTGTCTCGAGCTGCTCAGTCGTCTACCAGTCCCTCTGTACTGGCTGCCCCTCCACCCCTTTACCCTGTGGGTGGCGGTGCAGGGCGGGGCCGAGTGGGAGGACAGTTAGGGAGAAACAGTTATGATGTAAAATGGAGCCTGTGGATTCACATTCCTTCCCCTGCCCTAGGAATCCCGGGCAGCCAATCTGTCTGCAGAGACCCTGCCTCCTGAACCGTCCCAAACAGGAAGTGGCCTGGGACCTAAGGCCAAACGGGGTGAAGACAGAAAGCAAGGCCAAATAGGGCTTCTCACGTGGAAAATCTGGTTGGAGATTTTGGCGGAGCTCCGGAAATCCCAGGCGATGATGGTACGGTCAGCAGAGTCCCGGCTCGAGGCATCCGTGCTGCTCAGAAACTCCGAGCCCTCGCGAAGGAAGAGGATGTCCAGGGTCTGCTGGATGGTCGCCTTGTAGCTCCTCACCACCTGCAAGAGCAGGCGCCGTCATGCTGGCGGCCCAGGAGCGCTGGGCAGCCTCCGCGGGGAGGCAGCGCACAGGGCGTCAGGGAGGGCAGAGCGTGGACAAGGCGCTGGGGGCTGCTGCAGGGGGACCTGGGGCCCTCGGGTTCCGCCAGGAAAACGCCTGTCTTCCCAGGACATATCCACACCTCCCACTGCCTTGCCTGATACACCTCCTCGTGGAGAGTCCCCCTCCCACACTCACCCCACACCCGTTGGTGCGGGGCCTGGGAGGTGATGGTCTCCGTCAGACTGGTCCCCTAGGGAGCCACCAAGGCAAGCTGAGGGCAGGGCCTGCGCTTAGCCAAGGGCACCCAAGGGGCATCAGGGATGTCCATCAACCTGGAGCCATTCTTGCTTCTGAAGATGGCACATAATTCAAGCTCACAATGTCCCAGCCTATTGCCCCGGAGTAGCTGTGTTGCTGGGAGGGAAAGTTCTCGGAGACCATAGAGCCAGAACCACGGTGAGCAGGTTAGCTTTAGATATGGGGGGAAGGGGGCAAGGTTTGGCTTTTTATTCCCATAACAAATTGTAGGTACCAGAGGGTAGCAGAGCTATCAGCAGTGTTTTATTTATTTACTTACTTACTTGTTTACTTACTTATTTAAAACCTTGTTTCCCTTTATTTTATTTATTTATTTATTTTTATTAAACTAGAGGCCCGGTGCACAAAAATTGTGCACTGAGGTGGGGAGGGGCCCCTCAGCCCAGCCTGTGTCCTCTCGCAGTCCGGGACCCCTCGTTCCTCACTGCCTGCCTGCAGTGGAGGCGGGATAGGGTCCCTCCACCACCACTGCGCTCACCAGCCGTGAGCCTGGCTTCTGGCTGAACAGCACTCCCCCTGTGGGGGTGCACTGATCACCAGGGAGCAGCTCCTGCATTGAGCGTCTGCCCCCTGGTGGTCACTGTACATCATAGTGACTGGTTGTTCCGCCGTTCAGTTGATTTGCAATTAGGGTTTTATTATATAGGATTTATTGGGTTGGCATTGATCAGCATGAACACACAGGTGTTAGGTGTGGGTTTTTATGTTACAAGGTCTGTATATTGCATTGTGTGCCCATCATCCAAAGTCACATCTTCTCCTGTCACCATATATTAGGCCTTCCTTTCCCCCCAACCCTCTTCCCTCTGGCAATCACCACTCTGCTGTGTGTGTCCATGAGTTTCAGTTTTATATCCCACATAGGAGTGAACTCATATGGTTCTTAGCCTCTGCTGGCTGACTTCTTTCACTTAGCTAATGTTTTCAAGGTCCACCCATGTTGCTGGGTGGACTGTTCTTACAGCTGAGTAGTATTCTATTGTGTGCATGTGTCTCAGCTTCTTTATCCAGCCCTCACTGGAGAGCACTTTGGTTGTTTCCATGTCTTTTTTTTTTTTTTTTTTTAATACATTTTATTGATTTTTTACAGAGAGGAAGGGAGAGAGATAGAGAGCTAGAAACGTCGATGAGCGAGAAACATCAACCAGCTGCCTCTTGCACACCCCCTACTGGGGATGTGCCCACAACCCAGGTACATGCCCTTGACTGGAATCGAACCTGGGACCTTTCAGTCCGCAGACCGCCGCTCTACCACTGAGCCAAACCGGTTTTGGCTGTTTCCATGTCTTGGCCACCATAAATAATGCTTCAATGAATATCGGGGTGCATATATCTTTGTGAATACATGTTTTTGAGGTGTTGGGGTATACACCCAGGAGAGGGATTGTTGGGTCGTATGGAAGCTCTATTGTAAATTGTTTGAGGAATCGCCAGACTGCTTTCCGTAGTGGTTGTATCATCTACATTCCCACCAGCAGTGGATAAGGGTTCCCTTTCTCCCCACATCTCCCCCAACACTTGTCTGGCTTGTCTTGTTGACTAGGGCCACTCTAACAGGTGTGAGATGTTTTACTGTAATGTTGTTTGCACTTCCCTGATTGCCAGTGAGGTTGAACATATTTTCGATATATCTATTGGCTCTTCATACGTCTTATTGAGAGAGGAGAGTTTTCAGGTCCTCTGCCTACCCTTTGATTGGGTTTTTTATTTATCTGGTGTTGAGTTTTACAAGTTCTTTTTTTTTTTTTTTAATATATTTTATTGATTTTGTACAGAGAGGAAGGGAGAGAGATAGAGAGTTAGAAACATCGATGAGAGAGTCATCAATCAGCTGCCTCTTGCACACCCCTCACTGGGGACATGCCCGCAACCAACGTACATGCCCTTGACCGGAATCGAACCCGGGACCCTTCAGTCCCCAGGCCAATGCTCTATCCATTGAGCCAAACCAGTCTTGGCAACAAGTTCTTTATATATTTTGGAAATTAGACCTCTGTCAGAGCCACTGTTTGCAAATATCATCTCCCATCTGCTTGGCTGCCTCTTTGTTTTGTTGTCAGTTCCTACTGCTGGGCAGAAGCTTTTTGGTTTTAGCCCCATTCATTTATTTTTGCCTTTACTTCCTTTGCCTTTGGGGTCCAGTTCATAAAATGTTTTCTACGACCCTGGTCCATAAGTTTGGTATCTATATTTTCTTCTATGTAACTTATTGTTTGGGGTCTTCTATTTGGGTCTGTGGTCCATTTCGAATTAATTTCTGTACACTGGGACAAGTTGCAATCCAGTTTCATTCCTTTGCATGTGGCTTTCCTGTTTTCTCAGCACCATTTATTGAAGAGACTGTCTTTACTCCATTGTGTGTTTCTGGCTCCTTTGTTGAAAATTATCTGTCCAGCCCAGCTGGTGTGACTCAGTGGCTGAGTGATGACCTATGAACCAGGAGGTCATGGTTCAATTCCTGGTCAGGGCACATGGCCGGGTCATAGGGCATGTAGGATGTAGCCGATCAATGATTCTCTCTCATCACTGATGTTTCTATCTCTCTCTCCCTCTACATATATGAAGTCAATAATATATATATGAAAATTATCTGTCCATGCACTGCCGTGTTTCCCTGAAAATAAGACATCCTCCAAAAATAAGACCTAGTGCAGGGAAAGATAAGACATTCCCTGAAAATAAGACCTAGCGCAACTTTGGGAGAAAAAATTAATATAAGACACTGTCTTATTTTCGGGGAAACAGGGTAGGACATTTGGTTTTAAAGCTGGGCTCTCTATTCCATTCCACTGATCTGTGTGTCTGTTTCTTTGCCAATCTGTGCTGATCATCATGGCTCTGTGGTATAAATTTAAGGCAGGTAGCTTGATACCTCCAGTTTTGTTCTTTTTTCTCAGGATTACTTTGGCTATTCAGGATCTTCTGTGGTTCCACACAAATCTGATGATTTCGCATTCTATTTCTTTGAAAAATGACATTGGTATTTTGGTGGGGATTGCTTTAAATCTGTATATTGCTTTGCGTAATATGGCTATTTTAACTATGTCGATTCTTCCAAATCCATGAACACAAGATATTTTTCCATTTTGTTGTGTCTTTTTCAATTTATTTTAATAATGCTTTGTAATTTTCAGTATATAGGTCTTTCACATTCTTTGTTAAGTTTATTCCTAGGTATTTTATTCTTTTGGTTGCAATTTCAAAAGAAATTTTTTTTCTTAAATTTTGTTCTTAGTATACAGAAAGGCAATGGATCTTTGCAAATTGATTTTGTATCTTACAACTTGACTATATTTGTTTATTGTTCCTAATAGTTTCCTGGTGGGGTTTTTAGGGTTTTCTACATAGAAAACGATGTCACCTTCAAAAAGCGACAGTTTAACATCTTACATCCCTAGGTGGATGCCTTTTATTTCTTTCTCGTGCCTCATTGCTGTCTAGGACCTCCAGCATGATGTTGAGTAAGAGTGATGAGTGGACATCTTTGTTTTATTTCTGATCTTAGAGAAAAAATGTTCAGTTTTTCATCCCTGATTACGTATTACCTGAGGGTTTATCATATATGGCCTTTATTATGCTGAGGTACTTTCCTCCTACTTCTATTTTATTGAGTGTTTCAATCACAAATGGATGTTGTATCTTATCAAATGCTTTTTCTGTATCTATTGATAAGATCACGTGATTTTTATCCTTTCTTTTGTTAATGTGGCCTATTGCATGGATTGATTTTCGTATGTTGAACCATCCTGTGCCCATGGAATAACCCCCACTTGATCATGATGTGTATTTTTGCATACACTGTTGTATTTGATCTGCTAGTATTTTGTTTAGGATTTTTGCATTAGTATTCATCAGAGATATTGGTCCATAGTTTTCTTTTTTGTGTGTTATGTTTGCCAGGTTTTGGTATCAGGGTTATATTGGCCTCTTAGAATTTGTTCGGAAGTAGTGCCTCTTTTTCAAATTTTTTTTTGGTAAGAGTTTGAGAAGTATAGGTTTTAAATCTTCTTTGAAATTTGGTAGAGTTCACGGGTGAAGCCATCTGGTCATGGATTTTTATTTCTTGGGAGGTTTTTGATGGTTGTTTCAATTTCCTCACTGCTGATCAGTCTACTTAGATTCTTCAATTCTTCATGTGTTAGTCTAGGAAAGTTATATGTTTTAGAACAAATCTATTTCTTCTAGTTAATGAATTTGATAGCATGTAGTCTTTCATAATATTCTAGTAGTATGATCCTTTTTATAGCTATGATGTAAAGACATTTTTTATATCTTAGTATCATCGCCAATATTCCAAAGCCTCCTGCCTCGTAAACTAATGTGATTAAGTGTCCAGCAGTTGTTCTGCTTTCTCCAGAGCACTTTATCACCATCACCTGCTGTTCTAAGACAACTGGTTTGGCAGCGACAGGTGCGAGGCGGAGACTAACAAGAACCTCCACTGAACAAATGCACAAAAAGCTCTACTTGAAATTGCAGCCAGGGCACTGTGCCTCTGGCCTGCTGCCCTGCCCGCCCATTTATCAGCTCCCAGAGCGCCACCATGCGGCCACAGCATGAACAGTTCACCCATACCCCAGCCCAACGTTGACCAATCTTTTTTAATATATTTTATTGACTTTTTTACAGAGAGGAAGGA